ATTCTCCCCCTCTGCTCCATTCTTGTGAGACCCCCCCTGCAGTGCTGCATCCAGCTCTGGAGTCCCCAACATAAGAAGGACATGGACCTGCTGGAGCAAGTCCAGAGGAGGCCACAAAGGTGGTCAGAGGAGCACCTCCCATACGAGGACAGGCTGAGAGAGTTGGGGTTGTTCAGCCTGGAGAAGAGAAGGCTCCAGGGAGACCTTAGAGCAGCCTTCCAGTGCTGAAAGGGGGCTACAGGAGAGATGGGGAGGGACTCTTATCAGGGAGAGTAACGATAGGAGGAGGGGTAATGGTTTTAAGCTGACAGAGGGTAAAATTTAGATTAGCTATTAGGAGGAAGTTTTTTCCTGTGAGGGTGGTGAGACACTGGCCCAGGTTGCCCAGAGAAGCTGTGGATGCCCCATCCCTGGAGGGGTTCAAGGCCAGGCTGGATGAGGCTTTGAGCAACCTGGGCTAGTGGGAGGTGTCCCTGCCCATGGCAGGGGGTTGGAACTTGGTGATCTTTGAGGTCCTTTCCAACCCAAACCATTCTATGGTTTCCAGCTGTCTTTTCATTAACAGAAGTGAGCTGCTGTTGTTGTTAACCCATCATATTTTGTCCTGTGTTGTGACAAGATTTAGAGAATTATATATCTGATAATATTTAAAAGCTGCTGAACTTGTATTTCAAATCAATGAAATGTTAAGTAATACTACTGAATTGTTCTAGTTTGAACTCTTTTCTCCACTAGGGTGGGCTTAGCTGTGGTGTTTCCCTGCCTGTGCTATGGAAGAAAAAAAAAGCCAAACCCCCAAACAAACCAAAAAAACCCTCAAACAATCAAAACTCAAAAAGTCAGTGTAGCTTCACACTAGCTTGATAAGAGTCTTGAACTATTGTTGTATCTTTTTTTCTTATCTCGACGTTTGGCTTACAGTCTTCTTTCTCATTGTAAACTAATTGCTAATGGCACAGATTGTCAAAGAGGGTGTTCAGGTACCTTTTAGTAGCTGAACAAGATTAAAATTAGTATCTTTAGAGAGAAAATAAATGAAAGCGAATCTAGTGGGCAATCATCTACAGAAAGAAAACTTAGTTTTGCATCTTTTTTTAATGGTAAAAAGTGAAGTTATCTTCCTTCAAAATTGACAGGAAGTTAGGAAATTAAGATGTATAAGTATTATCCACATAATGCACACTCCGTACTTCGTCCCTACAAAAATACCAGTTGGAAGTACTTGGAGGATTAACTTGGAGTCAAGAGAAAAGCATGTTTGGTTACTGTAGCTAGGAAAAAACTATACTATGATTGAATCAACATAAGGTTAGCAGGAAAATTCTGACTGACAGCTTGTTCTGTGGTAGCAATTAATTAACTTCTGGTGCCTTTCTGTGAACCGCAAGCCACTGCCTCCAAGAGGTTGCAGAAAGAGTCAGGCAGCTCCTCCACCTCCCTACTGCAATGTTAATATTCATGTCACATTAAATTCCAACATTCCCTTGTTCTTAGCACCTTAATGGTCAACCACCTCCAGACCAAGTGTATGCATTGAAAGTGGTGTTAGTATTCACATTTAGAGCATTATAGTGCTTAGCAGACCTATGTTAATGTAAATGATGCCTTTGGTAAGTATCCAAACAAGACAGATGTACTTACTGTGTTTTTGTTGGGGAGTTTGGTCATTATAAAGCATGTTACCTGTCTGTCTTGTCTGTGAATGACAAAGTTACCTCTGAATATTCACTTTACAACCCCCTAAACAGAAGTTGTATTTGGGACAGTTTAAAATTTCTTTGCACTGCAGTTTTAAATTAAGGTTTAAATTACTTTTGGATATGATAGAGTGGTTGGGGTTTGTTGTCTTTGTGTATTGGTATCAATGCAGTCCATAGGAGCTGTTGTGGTTTCACTTTGACTTACAAAGATGGATTTCTCTTCTTGTGTGAAGATAAATGCTGAAACTGGGATAAAGCCAATGACAAACTCATAATTTCTGGTTGCTCCGGGGATGCTCTTTTTTTTTCTCAGTGAATGTCACAAGGCTGAGACTCAGGGGATCAGTGAGCTTTCGTCAGGTCTTATTGCTGACTTGCGCTGTAACTTCTGCCAAAACCAGCTCCTGAATGTCACTTTCTGCGTAGGGAATGGGTGCTTGGCCTTCCCAAACTGTTAAGCTGGAGGTAAAAAATGTGGTGTGTGTTTTTTTTTTTTTTAGAGAAAAAAACCCAACCAAAACCAACCAAACAAAAAACTCCCCAACAATTGAATAAAACCCAAACCCAAACACACCATGATTTTTTTTTTATTTGTCATAGTTTAGATATAAAGCAAAAATCAGTATAGGAATAATGTAATTTGGTCATCTTTAAATAGGTTTATACTCGTGGAGTCATATGCAGACAAGTTAATGTTTGAGACTAGAACTGGAACACTTGTTCGGGTGGATTTTAATGGTGTGGAAGTTTGCAATTTATAATGTCTAATTTGCATACCCCAGTTCCTGTCCATATGTAACAGTAAATATGGAAAAGAAAAAGTGAAAATCTCTTCCGCAGAAGAGCAAGTTGAGAGGTGCTGAGCTTACATGTGTGATACAGGTATTAGACAACTGCCCATTGCGTATTGAAAATCAGTTATCCTCTCTGTTGGCTGAGTAGTTGTAACAAGGCACCTGGTGCTATACAGGACCTCTCAGGACAAAGCTTGGGAAGTTGTACGTAATGTGGCCTCTTCAGAAACACGCTTCCGTTATCACTGCCATTCCTGAAATAAATGAATCGTGTTCAAGGTCTTTCCCTTCATTTGTAAAACTTATGAGGTGTGCTGGCTGTTGGAAAATAAAGCAGCATGGTGCATGTGGCACACGTGGTAAAAGCCCAATCCAAACAGCCAAGAAAGTTGGTTTACTGTGTGTTTCTTTTCCTGATGATTTCAGCTGATGTGTGCATCTTCTCTTTTCTTCAGAGTTTAGAAAAAGTCTTAAAAGCCGCTTCATATAATGGCTATCTGAGCTGACATTTCAGGGGGATTTTTCAAGAGCAAATACAGTCAGATTCATGCTAGTTGAATCCGTGGTTCCTTCCCACCCACGCTTACAAGTCTCCCCGCATTATTTTATATTTCTCCTTAGAAAGACATGTACAAATTTAGAGACTGGATGTCCTTTGAAATTATGTTAGACTCTTTCCTTGATGTGATTGTATTAAAACTAAAACAGAAATAATCCCAAAACCCACTACCCCTCCCAAACCCGAAACACCCTGGAACAAAGTGAACGAAAATATTTTGGGTCATGCACTAGCAACTGCTTTGCTGCTGTGCTGCATTGCTGTGTGCGTTTGATGGGTGCCAAAGATAGCCTGGAGAGCACTTTTCTAAGGTGCACCTGTAAAACTTAAATTACACTCTGAATTTGTTTTATAAAATAGAGATAGTTGTGTTTCAAAAATGCCACAATTCTTTCATGCTGCAGTACACCCACATTTATTAATTTTTTCAGATGTCTGAGTATTGGGTTGCTACAGTAGAAGTCAAAGCTATTTAGATGTACTCTTGTTCCTACAATCTGTTATGTCTGTGTGCATAAAATCTCACTGTTTCAAACCCATGTACACTGTTGAATGGTGAATTTGTTTTGAATATGTTTTCATAGCTGACCTTATGTACTCATGGGTTTGAACAAGGCACGTCAGTGCTATCAGGGTAATGTTTGAGTTTCAGAAATTGCGCCGTATAGTCTATGTACCCAAAGAAGGTGAGGGTAAATATTTTTTTTGAAAGAAATGAAACTTTATTGGGGAAAACAAAATTCTGAAAATTATGTTTCATCCACAAATTCCAAATTTCTCCTTATATAGGATCGCAGTCAAAACTTCTGGGGGCAGGGAGGTTGGAATTTAAGCACTTATTCAAAGTAATTTCTGAAACTAGCTTGGAGGCCAATGTTTTTACCTGCATGTTTAAAATTTGGAAAACTTTTTGTATCTAAGATTTGCAGCAATTATGTCAAACTACTGTGAATCTTTTTTGGAACCTGGAGTCCTTATTAACAAAGATGCCCTCATCTGTGGATTAACAGTTTGTTTGCAAATTAATATTGTATATATATGCATTATACTGCCATGTATGCTAATAGGTAGTACATTAGATCATGGAAAGTATAGGAACTAGTTATTGTTAATATTTCTGAAGATGAAATTTGTTTACATTTTATAACAATTACAGGTTAGGGTAGTTAGAATCTCATGTGTGTATCTCTCTATGTAAACCTAGTTTACATCTCAAGATTAAAATGGAAGGCTAATAATAATGCGGTAATTCTTTAATAGTTCTGCCTAAAATTAGCCCTTTCTATCTACACTTGGACAGTAATTATTGGGAATCAAAAACATAAGAATTGGCTTCACACTAACAAATCTTAAAGTTATAAAGTGACTGCCTGTGATAGCTGAATACTGGATATCATGGTCTAAAGGAGTTCTACTAGTTGTGTGTTTCTAAAGATAGCTTAAAGTTACAGCTTGAAACTCCACTATGTATATTTTCTATTATTATGTTCATACTTGAGCCAGATAATGCAAGCCATGAGAATGAAATTACTGAATTTTAATATTACACTTAGAGTTTTAATTTTTTAGCTTTGCTTTGCTATCTGGTAAAATACTTGATTTTGAAAACTGGATGAAACCCCTGCAAGCGTCCTACGATACTGGAGCCACACATAGAAATAAAATAGCATGCAAGTGTCTTAATCAGGGGGATGTGGGTGGAAAGAAAAGGAAAAATTTATTAGCTGAAAATTAAGGGTTTGAAGTTACGCTGTTTCAGAGGCTGTTAACACTTCACTTTCTTAGTTCAGCTGGAAGGGACCATTAGGGATTGATTCTGGTGCCTGCTGCTTTTTGACCTACGGTCTCTGTGCTGTTACGTTTCATCCCTGAAGACTGTGGGTTTAATGCACAAGAGTGCTGAATGAAAATTAATTTGGTCTTAAGGTTTCTTTGTTCTAATCTTAGATCTCTGGTGGAAGAGGAGGATCCTCATATGAAAGTATCTCTGGGTAGCAGCGATATGGGCGTGTCTGCCCATCTACAGTCTTCGAAGACAGGGACCACAAGATTTTTCACCAGCAATACTCACAGTTCTGTGGTATTACAGGTAATTAAATGTTCTTGTCTCAATATTATTGATCTGCACTGAGAATTTTGGATGCTCTAAACAATGCCTCTACTCAATAGACTTTATCAGACTAGTAATTCCCTAAAAAGCATCAAAAAAAATGCATGTTAATGTGCTGTGCTGACAATGCCCACAAGCAAGCATGGCTTGTAACTTCTTTTCTTGCAAGCTAAAGGTTTGACTTTTAGCAACAGCTTGGAAAAAAAAACACCTGGCCTTTTCCTTGGGTTGTATCCTCCCTGTCCACTCTCAATTTTGAAGAGGTAATATTGTTTAAACTGTGAAGTGACAGCTGTATCAAAGATGCTTCCTTGAATATACTAATGTAATCATGATAGTCAAACACTTGTATATACCATCCCCTGAGTGAAAGCTGCCTTAGGGATGTGAATGAGGAGAGCTCCGTGCTCCTCCTCCACGGCCCTAAGAGGGCAGAGCCCTGCCAGGTTTGGAGTAACGCCCTGTGCTGGGTCTGACTGTATGGCACTACCATATGGTAGAGTGGATAAAGATGTTATCTAATGGATAAAAATGTTATCCTCTCTGAAGCTTTAAGAATTTAATCTAAATTCATTTTATCTTGTTTCTGCTGGAGCTTTTGCACACCGTACAGAGTCAAGCTGACAGCATGCCATAGCTCTTGCTTCTATCCAGTGCCGTCTTTCTCAGGAGTGCGGGTGACTTCTGTATGGCCTGACTTCTTGGAGAACTGCCACTTATTTTTTCAATTTGCTGCCATTTTAAATAGATTGCCTAAGTTCAGGGACAAAAATGAGAAGGATTTTTTTCGGCTTATTCAGAGAAGCTAGTAATTCTTTTCTTTTAGTTTCTAAGGCTTGGGCATCGGTGCGTAGCTCTCCCTCATTTGTAAATTTTGGAACAAGTTAAATTGTTCTAGATATTTTTTGCTGTGTCTCTTTAGGTTTTATAGTTATTGTAGTCTTGAGACTGTTTCTTTGGTGTGCTTGGAGTTGTCCCCTTGCTGTAGGTTTTTTAGCTAAAGCTGAAGTTAGTGAATGGAAAGATTTCCCTCGATGCGAGATGGAGGTTACTGTCATCACTGTAAGCTGGTTACCATCCAAAAGAAAAACTTCTTAAACTATGAAGATTTCTTTGGCTATGTTGTAGATGTTGTACTCAAAAAGATCATCAGTGAAGGAGAGAGATGGGGAGAACAAAACTAAAACCCACCAAATGTAGAGTTGTGCCTTGCCCAGTTTGTACTTTGTTAGAAAAAGACTCTAGTCATCAGTAGCCAAGATACTTGCTTTTAATATGCCGGGGGACGTAACAGCAAATGGTGACATTGGGCATCCTAAGCAACGTGTTCAGTGCTTATTTCCTTCACTTTTATTTTTTTGTTTTCTTCAAAATTTGAGCAAATGGAGAGCTGGTAGTTGAAAAGCCGTGTTTGTAGAAACTACAGGCAAGTAATTTGAGGCATTGAAGTATGTTAGTTTTATATAAGCCTGTGTTTGGCTTCTGGTATTTATTGGAGCTAATAACTCATTTTTTCATTTGCACTCTATTCTTTTCTGTGTGACAAATTTGAATGTTCATTTCTACTTACCTTTGCAGTTTTAAAAATACAGCCGTTCTTTAAGGTAACGTAAATTTTAATCCATGGGGGCTGATGCCAAGACTTCTCTAAATGTTGAATCTATAAAGACAATATTTATGTTCTTGTTAGTACTAGGAAAAAATCAGACGTGCCTAGTTGAAGGAAATAGTTTTATGTTTGAGCTTGTGTTCTGCAGTGTGTAAAGGAGGCAAGTATTCCACCCATCCTCCAGTATCCCCATCTGGGCATATCTTTAGTGGCACATCTTCTCTACGATGCTGTTGTAGGTGACTTTCTTTTTTATTACAATGTGTCATTATGGGTAATTTGGAAAAGATCAGGTACATAATGTGAGCTTATTTTGGTGTTTTTGCCATGTAAAGTTCAGTGGTAATTTTGATGATCATAGAACCAGGTGACAACTTTCCTTTAAGGCCCCAATTTTTTTGCAGCCTCTTGGGTTGCAAAGCACTTAAACCGTTGTGGAACAGAAACATTTCTAGAATGCATGTGTCCAGAAAGGGTAGGTCCAGAAAAGATACCGGTCTCTACCAGAGACAATTGCTGGAGCATAAGCTTACAAAACAAACTCTTTCCTGAAAATAACTTAGCTGAATAAATCTAACTTTCTAAGGCCCAGTGTACTTTGCATTCTTCAGCCATTTCTGGAAAATAATAATAATTCTGCTTTTTTTCCAGTGAATAATTATCATTTAATATACTAGAGGTAATAGTTATAAGATGACCAATTATTTCTTTTTGGAACTACAGTACACATGTAAATAAAAGTAAATAAGCGTTTACATAAGGGAAATGAAAGAGATTCCTACTCTTCCCCGAAATTGTGCTCCTCTTGCAGGGTTTTGACCAGCTGCGAGTGGAAGGTTTGCTTTGTGATGTGACGCTTGTTCCAGGAGATGGTGACGAAGTGTTTCCCGTTCACAGAGCAATGATGGCTTCTGCGAGTGATTACTTCAAGGCTATGTTCACAGGTGGTGTTTTTGTTAAAGTAACACACACTGTCATCTCCAAATTGCCATCGTTTGGACACTCAGACACTTGTTCAGTGCTGTGTGAATTGGCCCAGGACAGCAAACAGCTCTGTAGTTGTACTCTCTCTACTGTTATGTATGGGTTTTTTAATTAGACTTTAAAGTTATATTTAAATTTTGTATAAGTTTATGAAATTATTTCAACCCAATCAAAGTGATTGTATAAACTTACCTACATGTCTTTTTCAGGAGGAATGAAGGAACAGGATTTAATGTGCATTAAGCTTCATGGTGTAAACAAAATAGGCCTAAAGAAGATCATTGATTTCATTTATACTGCAAAACTTTCCCTTAACATGGACAACCTTCAGGACACTCTGGAAGCTGCCAGTTTTTTGCAGATTTTACCTGTTTTGGACTTCTGTAAAGTGTTTCTTATCTCTGGGGTAAGACTTACTACTTGTTTCATGTTTACAATGACTAAGGCCTCGTTATTTTTTTTTTTTTTTAATAAGAAAAATGACTATGTAATACTCGAAGTCTAAAATTTTCCATTATTCGTAATTTGGATTCACAGAGAACAAGTTTGCTCTGCAGTTTTCTTGCAAATCTTCTTTTCTTCTGAGGAGTACGTACCGTATGAGTTTGACATAAATGTTATAACACAGGAAAATTCTTCTAATTCCGAAGCATATTGCAGTGTGATGATAGCAGTGATGATAATCGTAGTTCCCAGATACCTTGCTGGATTTTTTTAGTTCATGCCCTCACACTATATTCTTCCATAAGAAAGCTAATTGGTGAGTTTAAAAAAAAGAATAGAAGAATGAGAAGAATTGCTGTATGTTAATATACTTTGTTGAAACCTTTTTATTTTGAGGAAGGAAGCCCACTGCTTGTAGGGATCATCACAGAGACCATTACATCTTTGTAAACCAGTGAACTTGGTCACAGTCCTTTAGAATAATACATCCTCTAAAGGGATTACTAATAGGGTTGTTACAGAAATGTTGGTTATATGAGAAAAGTAGCTACAAGGATTTTATGTTGATGCCATATTTTGCTAGAACTAAAAATGGCTTTGGATGCCTACTGGGAAATATTTTTTCACAATCACCAAAATAAATGCTTTTGTAACCAGGGGTTAGTCCCTAAAGTAGCAACCCTCTCCTACCAATAATGGTTAGTTAGAAGAATAATACCTATTTTGCACGGTTGTTTTTGTAAAATTGTAATGAATAAAAAGTTTGCCCAGCAAAGCAGTGTACCATAGTTCCAATGCAGTACAGTCTGCTTGTGGTCTACTGAAGTCCCAGGTCCTGAACCTCCTCTTGGGGAGAGAGAATTTTGACAACCTTTTTTCCTCCTCCTTTCCTTCCCTTTTTCAGACTAATAGGACCTCTTAGGAAAAAGCTTGGGAAGTTGTAAGTAATGTGGCCTCTTCAGAAACACGCTTCCGTTATCACTGCCGTTCCTGAAATAAACGAATCGTGTTCAAGGTCTTTCCCTTCATTTGTAAAACTTATGAGGTGTGCTGACTGTTGGAAAATAAAGCAGCATGGTGCATGTGGCACACGTGGTAAAAAGCCCAATCCAAACAGCCAAGAAAGTTGGTTTACTGTGTGTTTCTTTTCCTGATGATTTCAGCTGATGTGTGCATCTTCTCTTTTCTTCAGAGTTTAGAAAAAGTCTTAAAAGCCGCTTCATATAATGGCTATCTGAGCTGACATTTCAGGGGGATTTTTCAAGAGCAAATACAGTCAGATTCATGCTAGTTGAATCCGTGGTTCCTTCCCACCCACGCTTACAAGTCTCCCCGCATTATTTTATATTTCTCCTTAGAAAGACATGTACAAATTTAGAGACTGGGTGTCCTTTGAAATTATGTTAGACTCTTTCCTTGATGTGATTGTATTAAAACTAAAACTAATGTGTCCTAGAGATTTTCTGGTGTTAATATGAGTTTGTTATATATCTTACTAGAAATCTAACTTTACCTGTAACAGGGAAACTGGTGTGTTCTACATAAATTATAATATTATTTGGAATTTGATTTTCTAATAGTCTGTTATGAGAAATAAAGAAGTGGTTATTCCCATTGCTCCTCAGGGTACAGGCTTAGAAATGCAACCTCCCTAATGAAGACATGTACTGGGATTTATGCAAACAGGAGGACTCCAAGCTGCTAATAACAGCAATCTGTTTCATAAGGAAAGTGTTAGAGACATTTAGGCTCTATAGCACCACTGCTTTGCTTTTTATTTTGGCATATTTTCTCAATATGGCCAGTTGTGTGAGAATGTTCTGATAATGTTTCATTAATCGTAATACTCGTACACCATCTATATTTTGTTGCTAGGGTTTTTTTACCTTCTGAAAGGATGCAGTCTACCTCTCCAGGGCTAACGTGGCTATAGATGCCAACTTGGAATAAGGTCTTGGTGTTCCTTTAAATCAGGGGTTTGGGGTGGCCTCCCTTTGAGGGGAGGTGAGCCCCAGGGATACCGCGTTGCCTTTTCACCTTTTTTGGGTAGCACAACAGCTGCTTTATTTTGCTTTCTTA